CAAATTAAAAAAAATAATACACACACACACACACACACACACACATACACATACACATACACATATTTTACCTAGATAAAGCCCTTCGTAAGGTGTGAGCTCTACTCGTGAGAGCAATTTTTTTGTATTTCTTTAAGGCATGGGCTTCCAGGAATCCCTTCAGTTAGTCTATTGGAATCTTTTCCAACCAATCTGAGGGCACCCAACTAAAACATGAATTATTGATGTTCTCATTTGCCATATTTTTCAGATTTCGATTTCAATGTCCTTGTATTTTGATAGCTTTTTGAAGATGTTCAAAGATACATTGCAGTCTGCAGAGACTACCATATCAATAAGGAGGCAATACTTTTATTTGCACTCTCTATTAACGATGTCAGGGTGGTTAGCTTTGATTATTATTATTGTTATTTTTATTTTCTTTGATTTTTGGCGTTTACACATTTCATTCCGGGTCCCGCCCAGGGACCTAAGGTTAGAAATGACGTCAAAAAAAAAAAAAAATTAATTACATAGATAAAGCCCTTCGTAAAGTGTGGGCTGTATTTGTCAGAACAATTTTTTGTAACTCCTTGAGGCATGGACTTCCAGGAATCTCTTCAATTAGTCTACTGCAATCTTTTCCAACCAGTCCTAGGGCTCCAACTACAACAGGGATTGTTGATGTTCCCATATGCCACATTTTCGAGATTTCTATTTCAAGGTCCTTGTACTTTGACAACTTTTTGAATATCTTCAAAGACACATTGCAGTCTGCTGGGACTGCCATATCAATAAGGATTATTATTATTATTATTATTGCAATGAATACTGAATGAAAAGCCTTTTTTACCAACTCTGACTTGTCAACTGTATACAACAGCTTTCGCTGCTCAATGGTTAAAAATGAATTCGAGTGAATGAAACTTTTAAGTCTTACAAGAACCATACTTTTTCGAACTTTGTGGATTGTGGATTCCACACTACTTCAAACAAAAGGTTAGGAAGGAAACCCCCATCAATTCTGGAAAGAGAGTAATTAGTGAAATTGCGAAACCTATTTTCCTTAAAAACTGTTTTAGTAGATAGATTTTTAAATTTCAACTAAAAGTAGCACTGGCTGCTCGGTCAATGAATGCCAAATGTTTCCTTATAAGGAAATGGCTAACATTACCATTACTTAAAAACTGATTTCATGTAAACAGCTAAGGTCTATATAAGACGGTGTTATATATATTATTCTATATTAGCAGTAGAGCCCGTCGTTGCCCGGGGATGTAACAGTAAGAGATAGATCAAGTATCGACCATCATAAAGACTGAAAAATAAAATTGACAAAGATTATTGTTTAAGGTTGACGGACACGCATGTCTTAATTAGTTTTTTTTTTTTTTTTACGAATTGGTCAAACCCAAACTCAAAACATTCTTTTCAATCGTTATGAGTCTACCGATTGAATAGAATTTTATTATAAACAATTGTCTTGTAAATGGAATTTTGAAAGCATTCTGAATGTAAAAATAAAGAAAAAAGTGTGGAAGACAATAAGAAGCACTACCTGTCAAAAAAAAAGTGAAGTTTTGTTGAAATCGGTTGAAAAATGTAGGAAATCCGATCCCATATATAAACACACTCACACACAAACAACCTGGGTTTTATAATAAGTATAATTCGATATGAGTTGTCCCCCTTTCATTCCGTGAAAGCGATGCCTCTTAATTGTGTTTTCAAATTGATTTCGTGCAAAAACAATTGTGTTTTTCCCATTTTTGGCGCTGTCAGAACCATTGCAAGGTAATTTTACGTAGATATGAAGTTTTGTTGAAATCGGTTGAAAAATGTAGGAAATCCGATCCAATATATAAACGCACACACACACACACAACCTGGGTTTTATAATAAATATGATTCCCGTGTATCATGCATTTTCGTTGTTTAAAGATATAAACTCCAGAGCTTATTTAATCTACATTTGAAAAATCATTTGTACTTTATTATGATTATCAAAAAAAAAACAAAGGAAAAATTTCTTCCAGTGTGTTTTTTTCCTGTTTCGACGCTATGTCTGTTTTCTTCAAGTTATGTTTTTTTTATGAAAATTTGTTTTTAAATTAGTCTTTTTACAAAAATCGCCTGTCTTCAGAAAAACGGACGTACTGGTAATCAACGCGTCAAAACGAACGAAACGCAGCTAGCGTGAATGGAATGCAAATGAAATGTTAGCAACAGCTCTGTTAATTATTTTTTTTTAATCTTCTGAAAGAATATGCCGAATTCAATATAAAATCACACACTCCACAAAAAGCTCTTAAAAGGTTTTTCCGTTAAAGTCCTGTTCCTGTGTATCAAGCTCATTTTCTTCTTAAAGATATGCCGGGTTTTCAGGACTTATTTTTCGACACATTTGAAAATAACTGTTTTCTTGTACTTTTATTATGTTTTATCAAACAAAATCCCTTCATTTATGCTCTTAATAAAAAAGCCCCTGTTTATGCTCATTTCTTCTTTATTTGTAGTCTTCCATGTGTGTTTTTTTTTCAAAACTAGCTAATTTAAGAAAGAGTTGTTTACCCTGTCTCTCTTTGGAAAAAAAAATGTATCTGTCTCTCTGATGTTTAACAATGTTCGGTTCTTTTGACCGCATGTTCGGTTGTACCCTCAGTTTTCTTCAAGTCAGTATTGTTTTAAAATTGCATCCATGTATGTCCAAATATGTTTTGGGATATACAAGCAGTTTCTAGCGAGTGAGTCAGAAGGTCAATTTCCCTTTATAGTCTACCAATAGAAGGTTGACCAATCAGAAGCCGCTGAACATTGTATCCGTCGTGTATAAAGGCGGCCATCTTTGTTTTCTCACCGGAAGGACCAGAGGAAACTTGTCAGGCGAAGATGACAGACGGAAGAACTACGCTCTGCTGCGATATCCACTGCGAACCTGCGCTACGCTTTCCTACTGTCTCCGAAATATTCACTGCCAACCTCTGGATTCTATACTCGAAGACGACCGTCATGAAAATGTCTAACATTTTCCTATTTCTCAGTACTCTACTTAGCTTTAAGAATGCTTCCTTGTCTATCCCAATACGCCTTCTGATTTCAGTGCCACTCTTTCCGTCCTCTGTTAAAACCCTTCCCAGATATTAAAATTTCTGCACTTAATTTTATAAACCGTTGTAAACAGAAGCTAATGGTTATCTTGTGTGTTTCTTTATTCGATCGTACCAAGAGCTACAAGTACAACAGTAGATTTAAGGTACCATATTTTTATTCGTTTTCTACTGCTTGTCCACCTTTGTGGATTGTCCTAAATATGTTTCTCATAAATATTGACTTTTCCTCACAGTTCAAAGATAATGAAAGAGTCAGATCAGACCAAAGGAGCACTGCTGTTATATTTAGTTGCAGTTGCCCAGTCCTCATTCTCCAGCCTTGATAGATTTCAAAAGTGTATATGAATCCCTGTGGGTGATGAATTATTTTCCACCATACAAATCCAACTATGCGGAATAAGGTTGTAGTGTGGGGAATAATTCTAGTTCTGACAACCTTACATTGTCTTGGTACTCGGACATTTAGCCGAGGGACATTTCGCCCAACGGACATTTATCCGAAAATGTAGTGGCGTACTCATTCTTTATCGTAATTTGTACATATATCTATATCTATTTACTGTATCAATTTATAATTTGGTGTGGGGGGGGGTGACAGGCTATTTTAAAAATCTATTTTACTTCAAATATTACCGTAATTTGATAAGTATTTTGAGAAAGAGCACATTTTACTACATTAAAAATCTTAAGCTTGGTTGGCGGGAATCTCGTTTCCTTTTTATTTATTTTATATTTATGTTTCGCCAGCCTGCTTTTTCGTGTTAAAATATTTGAATTTAATATAATTTGATCCAGTATCGATAATCCACATTTGATTTCCTCAATGTATCTCTTTAATTTTCCTACCAAACGGTACTTGAACATTTGGCCGAAGGATATTTGGCCGAAGGATATTTGGCCGAACGGACATTTAACCGAATGGATATTTAGCCGAAAATATAATGGCGTGCTTACATGTATGTCACACTCTTTATCGTAAGGTGCTATATATATTTCTATTTATTTACTGGATTCATTTATATTTTTTCATTTTTTAAAGGCTTTTTTAAAAAATCTATTCTGTGTATTTCATATTTTACTTCAAATACTACCCTAAGATTATATGCATTTTGAGAAAAAAGCACATTTTACTACAGCAAAAATATTAACCTTTTACGATATGAAAGATCTTTCATTTTTGCTTTTAATGATCATCATCTTAAAGGGATGAACTAGCTTTTATCTTACTGTTAAATACGAATTTAAATGATTAGGTGCTACTTTTTAACCAAATACAATCAAATATTTTTAAAAATACTAATTTCAATAAACAAATATAGAAATAAGAAAACTTAATTTTAAATTTAAATTTAGTAATTTAATCACATTAAAGTCAGTGGTAATTATTAGTCCTATTCTACCTTACAATACTACTAATTAAAATACTTAAAGTATTGTTTGTTACTATTTTTACTTGTACTTTTTCAGTGAAATGTCCATCGGCCAAATGTCGGTCGGCCAGATGTGTCTCAGCCAAATGTCCGTCAAACAAATGTCCGGACACATACTATTCTTCTATACTTAATTCATTTTCATAAATTCTGGATTATTCTAAGAATAATTGTACATTGTTTTGCGTTTCATATATAAACTCACTTTTCATCACAGATCAAATACATTGATTTTGATTCATTCATTATCTACGGCTTATTAACCCTTTGCTGGTTATTTAAAGCCAGAAAATAATTTCAGATTTAATTATTTTTAGATCATGATGGTTTATTGATACAAGTCTTATTAATTAACACACAGCCTGGGGAGAAAAGGTGGATTCATACGTTTCCCGAGCGTATTTGCGCGGAAGTGAATATAACGGACCCAACAGGAATTGGAACTCGGTTTTCCGATTAACAATTCCGAGCCATTACCCATTACACCACCCGCACATCCAAACGGTCAACCATCTAGGTACTGACCAGGCTCAGTGTTGCTTAACTTCCGTGATCGTATGGGAATCAATGTTTCAACGTGATGTGGTCATAACTTCGCCACTTCAATTTCAAAACCATCTGTCTATATTTCTGAGATGAGGTATTATGTACACTATTTACATTATATGGACTATTGTCCTCATCTTTGTCGCCATATCTATTACAACGTTTCGGCCGTTGTATGCTCCGGCCTTCTTCAGATTAAACTGAACCCTTTATTTCGCTCACTGGGGTAGACTGTTCTAGTTCCACGTGCCATGTCTAATGGATGTCAGTTATCAGTGATCTCCTGTTAATTCCCCTCTCCAAGTTCTCCACTGCCTTAACCAGGTATTGAACTCACACTCTTTGGGACACATGTCACAGTGGATAAAGGCGTTGGTTAGGTCTAATGATAGGACCCATAACATGCCTAGGAACATCGATAAATAAAGGTTGTTAGATTGTTAGGCAAGTGTATTTGAGACTATTAACATTAGAATTTTCTTTATCAGATCTTAAAATAGCGACCAAACACGAGATAGGCATAGCCAACCAGGCATTTTGCAGACAGGGTGTTGACATGATGGCTGATTTCTGTTGAAGCATCAAAAGAGATCACCCTTTTCAAAAGCATCGTAGAGTTTCCAAGAAGAGAAGGTTTATGTTTTTGGATGGATAAAAATGAATGTATGTTTCATTCCTTTGTATCTTTTTGATTCAAAAATTGATAACACATGTTTGCCTTAATTTAATTTTGTGTGAGATTTTTCTGAAAGATTTTCTGAAATGAATATGCTGAAAATGCATTCTTTAAGTTATTGGGATACTTTTTCATTTATAAGTTATTCTAACCTGAAAACGTTTAAGGCTGGTTCTACATGGCCCTAGAATATCACTGGCAAATGAGTATTTTGACCTATTTTAAGAAAAATAGAAATTATATATACTGAGAAAACGTGATGCCCAACAACATTTGAGTCGAAAGGTGTTATCTGTCACAGACATCTACAAAGCTAACTATGTCCCACCTCGTTAGGAAGAAAGGTTTCTAAAAACACAAAACTAATGGAATAATCCTCAACCTCACCAGATATTACGCCAACAGAAAACTCGTGATCTATTATCGTCAAAAGAGATCGATTTAAGTATGGAAAACAATATTCGTGTAAAGTTCTCTGGGACGCAATAAAACCTGTTGCAAGTAATGCTAAATTCTATGCAACTGAAAAGTTGAGACAAACAATAGGTGAAAGGCTGAAGATTATAAGTAATCAATAAGTCAATAATAGGATCCGAAATGATAATTTATTCAGGTATAAAGAATAACATACGTATCAAATATATGTTTACATGCTTCATATGTTGTTTAATCACTTTTTTAAAAAAATTACTGTCGATCAAATTTCTCAGAATAAATGCAAAAACCTCCGAAACATTTCATCATCAATATTCATAATGGTAATTTTGATGGTAGTATTGCTTATGGCCATATGACATTGAAACAGCGGCTGACATCCGATCACCAAAATTAAGCAACGTTGAACCTGTCCAGTACCGAGATGGGTGACCGCTTACGAAAACCAGGTGCTGTAAACTTTGACGTGCAGCTGATGTGATGGATTATGGGACGGAAAGAGAAGTCGGGGAACCGAATTCACTTTATATTCCCTTTCGAGGTTGAGGCTAAAAAGTTCATAGGCTGACTATGAAGGAGTGATGCTAGAACTGTGAAATCTTACATGCTTTCATTTTAACTCTTCTTATTAATTACCACATTGTTTCTTTGCAGGTCCGCTGGGTGGCTGAAAGTTTCATAGGCTGACTACGAAGGAGTGATAGGAGTGATGGTAGAACTGTGAAATCTGACATGTATTCATTTCAACTCTTCTTATTAATAACTGCATTGTTTCTTTTTAAAACCGCGGGTAGGCTGAATGTTCATAGGTTGATTATGAAGGAGTGATGCTAGAACTGTGAAATCTTGCATGCATTCATTCCAGTTCTTCTTATTAATTACAGCATTGTTTCTGTCCAGGTCCGCTGGGTGGCTGAAATTTTCATAGGCTGACTATGAAGGAGTGATAGGAGTGATGCTAGAACTGTGAAAACTTGCATGTATTCATTTCAACTCTTCTTATTAATAACTGCATTGTTTCTTTCCAGATACGCGGGTAGGCTGAAATGTTCATAAGTTGATTATTAAGGAGTAATGCTAGAACTGTGAAATCTTACATGTATTAATTTTAGCTCTTCTTATTAATTACTGCATTGTTTCTTTCCAGGTCCGCTGGGTGGCTGAAATTTTCATAGGCTGACTGTGAAAGCTTGCATGCATTCATTTCAACTCTTCTAATAAATAACTACATTGTTTCTTTCCAGGTAAACTGGTAAGGGGTGCGATGTGGGAAAATAGATCTCATTTAGTCACATTCCATGAGACTATCATGATGAGCCTATGAACTTTTCTGTACAGCCAAATAACCTTGAAAATGTTCCATTTGTTCCTCACCAACTATGGGCTAAATAGAAGAACAGCTTGGATCATATAGCCTTGGTTAGCAACCAGTCTACTACATAAAATAACGACAGTCTGCTGCGTGAATTCTCCTGCCAAATTAATCATGAATCAAAAAACTAGATATAATTGCCTAAGCCTTCATGGCACCCAAGGAAAGTATGAAGGAATGGCAACATTAAACCTTTCCTTATAAGGAAACATCCGACATACATTGACCGAGCAGTCAGTGCTACTTACTAAAGTCTTCTTCTTAAAACATTTTTTTAGAAAATAGATTTCTCATGACCAGTAATTGCTATTTCTCTTTCCATTACTGACAGATGTTTCCTTCCTAACCTTTTTCTGTGTCACTGTGGAACATCGACATCTTGATTATGCCATTATTTTCTGTTCCGTTTAGATGTGATATCCATTTTAGTTGTTGCTGTCTTCAAGTGATGGGGTTTCTGTTATTTAGTACAGTTCTTTGGTTGTGATTCTGTAGAACAAGTCCAAGAAGTTCAAGGAAGAATTGTTCTCTCCAAAACCTACGGTCTTCATCCGCTCGAAGCCATTTTACATCACTGGTCTCAGGAAGCGGTTGTATACAAGCTGACAGTTTGCATATTTCTGATCGAGTTTTTTGCCCTGCATGACATCCAGATGATGTTCTCGATCTAACGAAGTTATTTAAGAACATGTCTTGTCGGTGTTGAGCGAAATTAACCCAAGCACAGCCAATTCTGTGTTCAATTATTTTATCTCGTACATTAAATCTCTATCTATAAAAGGCAGGATGTGTGTGTGTGTAACGAATGCACGGCCGCAATTTTCGACGGATATGCACAAAAAATTTACATGCACATGCTCCATTTTAGCGGGAAAAGACCGACATTGCATTTCCCAATATCCTATCGATAGTGGAAATAACCGATTTTTTCATGATTCTACGGCAGTTTTCATGTAGTTTGCGGCCATTTTGTACTGGCCAGAGGAGAGATAACAATTGACTGCCACGAATAGGCAGGAAGATTCTAAACACCAGCAAATGAGAGGTTCCAGCTAACTGAAACGAATATTAACTAGCATGCTAGTATGCAAAATAAAAAACGAAAACTGCATTCGTTACATATGGGAAAAATTTAAATCTGGATGGCATTTAGTCCAATTGGCTATTCGCTTGCTTAAACTCAACATTGATTCTGATTCCGCAGAAATGGGATGGCGGAAAAAGTATTTGTTGTTAACATTCTTTTTCAGTATTTTTCCAGTTACGAGTCCTTTTTAAAGCTGAGAACCAAAGTTCATTTTGTTTAGTTTTTTTCCGTAACAGATTTAATGTTCAGTATAGTATTCTTAAAAAATAAGTGGGAGATAGGCAAGAACTAAAGGAATGTAGCAACATCAGTATAAAAGGGCATTTTTAAAAAATGCAAAGGCAAAATTTTTTAAGTTAGTCTGTCCGAGAACTTTTCCGTACGCTTTTTTGAATTGCAAACGGGCAACGCGTGAGGCCTTCTATTTTTTAAGAATCACTTTCAACTATATTCAACGAAAACCAAAAAACTTGTTGCCGGGCGGTGACTTAATTTTGAAACATTTGCTGATTATTGACACAGAATAATATTAGAATATTGCTTATCTTCCTTTTATAAAGATCTTCGTAAATTGAATATTAGTAATATCAAACAGGTCCACGAATCAAGTTGAGATCGAACTCAGCCGAGAACTATGAGACTAGATTAAATACTGAAAAGGTACCTAAGTCCATGAACTAAAATCTATCAAAGTGGTAATCCTACAATGATTTAAGCAAAACTTTGAAAAATAGTTAAGAAAGAATTCTTAATAATTCTTCAAAGACAGAAAAACTCTTTTCAAAGTCTATTGAAATTGAATTAATGTCTTTCTTTTTTGAGTGTATTTTAAAGGATGTTTTGAATTTCATTGATTCTCTTCTTTATGCCCCTTTTTTCCAATCCCCTTTTTATTTTCCTTCTTATCTGCCTAATTTCTGAAGTTGGTTTTTCTTTTTGTTAGATTTAGTAGTAAATTGAATATATGTTTATAGATTTGGTCTCTTGATTCCCTCCTTCCTTCCTTTTTGAGATAAATATATATATATAGATCCTTCCTTGGTTCGTTATTCGTATATTCCTTTTTGTATTTGGTTCTTTTTCAACCATTTTAATATCTTCTCTGTGTATTTTTACGTCTAGTTGCGGGGGTTACTTAATAAAACATCGCATCATTCAATTCTGTCTGTTCTACTTGCAATAGAGAATGGTATCGGTGCATTTTTTTTTTCCTAAAATCCTTAAACTCACTATTGAACGGGTTTCTTCCTTGGCTCCTTTTGGACAGGATTAAAGAGAACGCGGGTTCCTCCTAAACAGTGATCCCCTAAAAAGGCCTTGCATACATTTCCTGCCTGCCAGGACACTGATATCGTTCGTTGATCCTTCCTTGACGAAATCGCCTTTGCCTTAGGCAGGCTACTTTTTGGTTAAAATTAATTGAAATAATTCTGGACAGGCCTTCTACACACTTTAGTTTCCTTTCTTTCACCATACGTTCCTTTAGACCTTCTGACTCCCATCCTTGTAATCGAATTCTATTTTTCCTCTGATTAGGTCATTTGCTTGGTTTTCCCTAAAGATGAATCTATTTTCGGGGTCCTTCCTGATGAAAGTGGTTTGGCCTTGAAAATATTCCGTCATCTTTGATTACATCAGGCGTCCAGATCATATTGTCTCGACTGTCGATTAGTTTGTCCTACGGCCATTGTCCTTGATGTTCGTTTACTCCAAGGAAGTGTAAAAACTGGTTCAAGCCTTACCAATGAGAAAATCCAGTACTATAGATTGGCCTTGAATTCCTCCTGATTTAAATCCAATCGAGAATCTGTGGTCAATCTTCAAGGAACGGTTGGTTGAATGGAGATATGGTTCCTAACACGTGCACTGGGTCACGTTTCATTGGAAAAATACGAAAAATTCTAAATACTTAACGGAATTATCTGTTTTGTTTCAATTAATTTGGTCAAGGGTGTATATATATATATATTATATATATATATATATATATATATATATATACTATAGGCATTCGAACACAATCCGATTTACACAGATAATGAGTTTCTAAGGGTTTAATTTCTCTTTTACCATACCAAGTTGATTAACAAATTCTTTATTATCTTTTTTTTATCTCATTGAATTTGATTTTTTCTGGTACACGTGTTTACTTTTTTTTTCTTTTTTTTGCAGACAAGCTAAGTTCAGTAAATCATTCTTAGTGATTAAGAGTGGGAAGTTTTTTTTATTCGTAGACCATTTAATTTGACCAATGAATTCGAACCTCTAGTGAGAGACAAGACGAAGCTTCTTCGTTTATAATGGTTACAGGGTTTTGGCCTATTCCCTCCTCCACAGTGACATTATTCAGACACTACTTCTAGTTAGCTGGCCGTTCATTTGAATTATTTCCCCTATTAATAAGTATTATGAACATAAAAACAAGAAATTATAGTTTTTATGTTAATGTTTTTTCTGTACAAATCCCAAGAGCCACTCGGGGTAGAGAGTTAAACTTTCTTTTCCCCGATTTATGGGGATTTTCGAATATAATTTTTAAGGGAAATGGAAACAAAATAATAGTTGTATAACTAAATTGTTCAATAAAATTGTTCATGCCACGTTGACTGATAAACTCCTAGGACAAAACAATTCTCAAATTACCATATTAGTAAAGAACACACTCTCTTAAAGTTTCCAAAAAATTCAACCTTAGCGTTGCGACCGTACAATGCAAAATTTTTTGTTTGTTCAATTACATTTATAAAAAAAAAAAGAAATATTTCGATTCGCATTTAATCTTTCGTCTCCAATGTTATCTGGATTTACTTAAAACAAAATAATTTCCATTCTGAGGATGACTACACGTATTTGTTGAAAGTACTTGCAGATTAAAATGTTTCCTTATACACTTTGTACCATCTCAAAGCAAGGATCATAACATTCATCTTTTGGTTCGTAGGTTAATGTAACTTTTTAAAATTTGTTTGCGAAGAGTTTTATATATTTTATATCATTAA